TCAGGCTGGTTTCGAACTCCTGAGCTCAAACAATCCACCCGCCTCGGCCTCCCAGAGTGCTAGGATTACAGGCGTGAGCCACCGCGCCCGGCCGACCCTGTCTCTTAAAAAACAAAAAACGAAACACAAAACCCTCAAACATTAATAGAAGAAAAATTCAACATCCTACAGGGCAAATGGAAAAATCTGAGGCAGCACCTTCTAACATATCTGACAAAAGGAGTCCGCTTTTTTCTTCAGAATTAAAAAAATGTATTTTAACAAGTTGTAACAGACTTCATAACACTGATTCAAGCCCAGGGCTGCCAATTATGGTCTATGGGGATGTAACTACACAATTCCAGGGGGCACCATTCACATAGATCATGTCAATGGCAGCCCCTGAAATTGTGTGTTGAGGCAGCTCTATCCAAGTCCCTCATTCTATTAATAAGAAAACAAAAGAATTAGATAATTTTACCCTAGTCCTGGAGAAAAATCAGGAATAGGATCCAGATTTATAAGGTTTTAGACTATTTTAGCCCTCCAATTTCAGTATCCCTGTATTATCAACTGCTTAGACATACAGAAAAAGCTTGAGAGCTAGCATTCATTCTCAGTGACTCACCTGACTAGACAGAAATTAAGTCTTCTCCCCTCTCTACTGCCACCTTCTCCAAATGAAGTCAGTCCCCTGGCCAGCAATACCTACCCTACAAAGCTGTATTCAAACTTTCTGGCCCAAATCTAAAATAAGGTATGTAAATAATGACACCTAAAGGGGAATAAAACTTTGTATATACTCATTCTTCCACCCCACTCATCCACCTCAGCTCTAAAGTAGCTACTTTCAGATCTAACATGAATAACATGAATGGAAAAGGGAGTAAAAATTTAAAAAGGAAAAGGCGGCACATAAAAGTGGAAAAGAACAGAAAGGCCAAAAGTAGAGTATAAAGAATTTTTAAAACTTCCACAATTTTAAATCAAACTCTCTAGTATTTTACAAAAACAAAAGAAAAAACTACTAAAGAAACAATAAAGCATACATACCTATGAGTAGAATAATCCTTGGTATCAATGGTATTCCTTTGATTTATCTGCTGAGAGACTGACAGATCTGTTAACATTTCTAATTGCTGGTAGAGCATGTTACTTTGACTAAGTTCTTGAACCAAATTTTCAAGTTGACGATGTATGTCCCAATGCTTTCTTAATTCAATTTCATATAATAACTGTAGAAGTTCAAATGATGCCTTTTGCTTTATCAACTGATTTAAAACTAACTCTTGCCTTGCCGTATAATAATCTTGTTTGGCAATCTGCAGATCAAAATCTCCCTTTACGACTGGCATATTCAATAACTGGGCATTCTCTTTTACCACAGCAGGCAAACTTTTGTCTTTTACATGAGTGATTTGTTCTTCAAGTTTCATAATCTCACTGTTCAAGCTAGAAATTTTAGCATCCAAATTTTCTTTGCCAACAGCCTACACAAAGAAAAGTAATTACATTTCAAACTGTAAGTCTAAACCTGAAACAGTCTTAAAATTATTTTCACTTTCCATTTTAGGTGATCAGATAAGCTCAATGAACAAAAACTAATTTTATATTAGCATAAACCAAAATTACAATTTAAAAAGGAAGAATGTAGACTAAGTCAAGGGTAAAGCCAGTATGAAATATTAAATTTTAGTGTTACTACTATCATACATATACAGTAACAGCTATGAAAATAGAGATCTTATCATGCTCATTTTACTCAATCAAAACCATTATTAGCATACTACTCACTGAATCCAAGTGTATGCTATTTAAGTTTTTCTTAAAAGTTATAATTATCTCAGTAGGTCCTAGTCAGTCAGATTTTAGTACCTCTGTAGAATTTCTGGACTTCCTATATATTATTCCAAAGCTTGTGTCAGTTATAGTAACTAACTTGGTGCTGGTATTCAGATTCAGAAAAATTACACTTTTACTCAACTATCTAGTAGGTAGTTTACCAAGGAAGCTTTCCAAGAGTGTAGATGGATATCTGCTCATTCTCAACAAGGAATCAGGGTTTCAGCCCACTGAACCTGGACCTTTGACTTCATTAGCACCATGCTCTGGTTAGAGCAAACGAGGCAGAAAACCCATAAAAAAGCAATTAGTCTCTATACACATCATAAAAAAAAAAAAAACTCGGTTCAGTCTTTATCTGAATTAACACAAATTTCAAATTCAGAATGCAAATTAAAGCACTCTTGTTTAAAATCAACTAGATAATGTGGTTGGGGTTATAACAACCATTTCTGCCCTCCATTAATGTGTGGATTTATTTGCATGAAAACACATGTCACAAATAAGCACTGAACAAAGAGAAAATTAAAAAATTGTAGTTTCTTATTATACCCCCCATTCTAAAGTACTTTAATAGCAATATTATATCTTTCATTCCTAACAACAATTAAAATATGAATCCAGTCTCATATCATATGTTTACCTTGCTGGTTAGGCTATGGAGATTCTCCTCGGCCCATTTGATACTTGACTTCATGCTCAGATTACCTGCTTTCAAGTGAATTAACTGATGTTGAGCACAAATGTATGCTAGCTGCAGCCTAGCCATCTCTAGTCGTCTCTCCTCAAGGATTTCTTGATTATCACAAATAGATGGTGTTTGTAGGTCTAAAAGTTGAAAATTTTCTTCATTTGAACTTTCAACTACTTCATGTATACCCTGAAAGAACTGCTTTTTGGTATATAAGGTTAATGCTGCTGTGCTTTGCTCTTCCTGCCTTAGATACTTTTCCAAAGAAAACTGAGATAAAAACACCAGTGGATTTGTCCCTTTACCCAAATTAGATTGTCTGAAGAACAGCATCAACTTTGTAACTCCATCAGTAAGAGCTTGAAGTTCATTATTGATCTTAGCATTCATTGCATTTAGAATTCCTTGACTCTGCTTCAGCTTTTTGGTGGCTTCTTCTTTAGCATTTAACCTCAGACATCTGTGGCTAGTTACTGAAGCCATCAATTGGCATTTGTTACGTCGTTGAATTTTTAGGTTCTTTAATTTCTGCAGAGTTTGAACCTCACTCTCTAATTTCTCCAGCTCTTTGTCACCCAGTCTAGGTGTCTTCAAATCAGAAGTTTTACAGGTTTTAAGAACTTCGTCCAATGCCGCCCCTTCTAGGATGGGCTTGCCTGATTTTTGAAGAATGCAAAAAGCTTCCAATTCTTTCTCAGACAATACATTCTGTTCGTTCACATTCCCACAAAACCACTTCAAAAATGATTCATCTTCAACAGTCTCAAACAACCAGTCAAAATCTTCTCCATTAAGACTATCAGCTTTAGGATAACCGATTTTTTTTAATGTTCCCACAAACTCATTTCCACAACTCATGGTTTACCCTATTTTTAAATATCTGACACGGGTTTATGGTGTTGATTTTTACAAAGTAAATCCAAATAGAAACAAAACTAAGTTTCACATTAAGTCCATAGAGAAGGGAAAAAATCTTTTTAGAATCTATGATTCCTCCTGGGGAAAAGAAAACAAGTATTAGACCACAAATAAAGACGATTGTAATTTTAAAAGGAAGACATAGATAAATATCACATATTTGAGAGCGGGCTAACTGAAAGGTAGTTGTAGCTGCAATGTTTAAGATAAATATAAGCAATTAGGGTATTTCCTTAAAACTGCAACAGTAATGAAAACCTAATTAACAAGAAAAAAATCTTATTTTTTCCAAAGATAAAATGGTTTAAAATACATGATGTTTTATGTAACAACAGCAGTTTTTAATTGACAGTTAAATGGAGCCAAACAAACCCAAGACACGATGTGGCTAAGCAGCCTCTTTTCCCTGCTCTTCGTACGTTAAGAAATTAGAAATAAATACAGCAGTTTTTAATAAGAATCAACTAAATATTTACCTCAGTGATTCAATTAGCATTCACCAAGCACGCAGGAATCAATCTCCGCATACGATCAACCCAGTGCAGAGAAAACCAGAAGCAAGCAGTTACCCAGTAGAAATATTTCAGGCCTTTACTATTTTCAACAAACGCGCCACTGAATAACCCACGACGATTTAGCCAAGCGAACGTCAGTAACGGCGACCAGTCCTACGGATTAATGACCATGAAGTCGCGATATACTTGACTCAGTAGTGACAAAAACCTCTGGGTTTTCTGGGTGTAACTCAGTTATGACACGTATGAAAGTTAATAAAATAAGCATTCACAAAAATCGCCGAATCGGCGTTAAAAGCCAGTTGCACCAGCCCCAGACAAGTGCCTGACTCCGCGGAGCTCAGGCCGCCCTTCAGCCCCTCGCCCTGTGCCCCGCGACCGCGACGCCCGGGAGGCTACTGGCGCGCCTGAAAGGAGCCTCCAGGTCGCAGGGAAAGAAGAGGCAGCGGGGTGCAGACCGGGATCGCGGCCGCTCCTACAGTCCCATACCCGGGAGCCCACAAAAAGGCCCGCGCCACTCACCTCATGAAGATCTCATTCCCCGCCTCACCCGAGCCGGTATGCCGCCGCCGCCCTCCACGCCTCCCGCGCCTTGCACTGCCTCACGGGAACGCCGGATGTGCGCACGCGCATAGGGCCTGGACGGCGTCGCGGGGTGACTGCGCAGGCGTGATGTCTAAAGAGGCGGGGCTGGCGAGGCTCAACTTTGGGGCGGAGCTGACCAGGCGCCGCTCCGCCCCCCGGCCCAACGTGCACCCTGACGCCGGGGCGTGGCGCGGGGCGTGGCGCAAGGCGCGGGTCGGCGGACGGGGCCCTCTCCAGAGAGAGGGGGCGGGGTGTCTCTCTAGTGGGGGCGGAGGGTAGGGCCCTCTCCGGTGAGGAGCGGCGGGGCGGGGCGTCTCTAGGGTGAGAGGGGGCGGGGTTCTTTCCGATGCTGCCCTGCGCGCCCCGCCCCGCCTCGCCCACGTGCACCGCCCGAGCTGAGCGCCGCGCAGAGGCGGTGGGTTCCCTCCTGCTGTCAGCTCAGCCTTCAGTTCTGTTTACAGTTCTGCCCTCACCGTACCCAAATCCACTTTTAGGGACAGAGGGGAAAAGCCTAGATTAGTAATTAGGGGCACAGACTGGAGCCGTAGGGTCTGGCCCAACCCCCCAGCCCTGTCGCTGCCAAGCTGCGTGACCTGGGCAGGTCGGTGCCGAGTTGCCTGTGTCCCGCCCGTGGAAGGTCCACTAATAGGTCTCTTCTACGAGATAAATGAGTTCGTGTGTCCACAGCAATCAGAGCAGGGCCTGGTACATTTTAAGGGTTTAGTGATTGCTTTAGAATCTTTTCCAATTAACATTATTTTGCAAAAGCACATAATTTCTAAGTCTTCACCTGACCACTAAGCAAAAGCTGACTTCCTCCACAATCCCATATTCAAAATGTTTAAAATAAACTCATATAAACATAGAGCGGCTGTGTGTCAAAGATGTATTTAAGTAGTGAGGATGGCACACGATTTCCCAGGATGCCAGAAACGGCATATGCCATCAATGAAAAGAAAGAACGCTGAAATAAGCTTGTTAAATTTAATGCAAACCCAGCTGATGCCCTACAGTCCAGTGAAACCAGACCTTTGGGTCATCACTTGTATTGGACACTTGTCATCACTTGTATTCGTTTGCATCTCTACTAAACAAAAAGCATTTGCAATTTACCAGTCTTCTACAAGTTAACCTAAATTTGCAAAGTGTGTGCTTTGGTCATGAATTAATAGTACTCTCTTCCCCCAGTGTCAAATGACCCTAAGGTGACTGCTTGGATGATGTTCTAGTCTAGGGTGACTAGGTAAAAGTCTTTAGGATAGTTTGTCTTAATGCTTTTAAAGAGAAAAAAAGAATGTTGTAAGGCAGATATTGTGCATTAATCTTGAGTCAAAGATACTTCCTATTCATTCTTGTTTTACTTTTTTATCCTCCTCTTTTATTGACTTTTAAGTCAATAAAGCCTAAAATGATCTGAAAAACAAACATTACAGGGGAGAAATTCGCAGAGTGGTGCCTAACCTGGAGGCAGGGAAACCAGGGGAGCTGGAGCCATAGGGCCCTGCAGCCGAAGGGCCCTGCCACAGCATCGGTGCTTCTGGGAACAGCAGTGGAGCCTGCTTGTCAGGAAGGAAGTGCAGGCCATGCAGGGGACGCCTTCAGGAAATTTTGCTGAGGAGGCAAAGACTGAGGGAAGAGAGAGAGGGAGGGAGAGAGAGCGAACAAGACACAAGACACAAGATGAGGGGGTGGGAATGCAGGGCTGAGGGGAGGATTTTTCGTTTTGTTTTGTTTTAAAATGGGAGGAACTTTGGGATATTTATAGGCTGTGAGGAGGCACTCAGAGGAGACAGCATTAAAGATGCTAGAAAGAAAAGGGGCTACTTTATAGAAAGAGATCTCCGGAGGGCAGGAGGGGTGCACTCCAGAGCCCTGGAAGTCATTCTGGAAACCCACTTTTCCTAGTGACTGCTCGGTGCTTTCTGGGGCCACAAATTGAATTACTGACCATAGTTATTTGTTTGCAAGGTATTTGTAGGGCCATAAAAAGCTATAAAAATATAAAGTAAATTACAGTCGCACCAGCCCCCAGAATACAAATGACAAACACAATAGGTTTAACTATGCAGACTTGGAAAGTTTTCTTGAGGTTGCATTGGAATTTAAGAAAAGCAAATCTGTTATTTCCAGAACAAACTTTCTTTTCACCAATCGAAATCATTTGGGGTTTTAGTAGGGTCAAAAGATAAGAGGGACCCAGGAATTAATCCTCCCTGAGAAAGCCCATGAGACTATAATGGACTAAACAGACTTAAACACAGAGATATTAGGACCAAGTGTTTTTACTGTTTGCTTTTTCTCCTTCCTGTTGGAAGCTTTCTTTCCCTTTTATTGATATTAAAAAGTATTTTAGGTTTTGGACGATGTCTTTTCAGACTATTTTTAAACTTTAGAAATGATAGTCTGATGTTAAAAATTATTTGTTTTTAGATGTGGTTCTCAATGAAGATGGTGGGACTCTTCTGCAAGCAGTGGGGAATGGGGGCCGTTTCTAAGTGGGAAAGTCATTGTCAGATGTGTTAGCAGCATGATTCTGCAGGAACAAAAGTGGCAAAAGTGGCAAGAGACAAGGTGCAGGACAGTTCCTGCAGTGTGGGGATATGGAGGAGAAGAGCTGGGACCGGGCGGCCTTTTTTTCTTTTCTTCCTAATAAGAAGAGAACTGAAGACCATGCTGATACCAGGGGGTTGGAGGAGGGTGGGGGAAGATTTTGTTTTTTGTCCTCTTGACATCCATGTGACAAAGGGGGAAATTCAGTCCCCAAACTCCCGGGCAGGTTTGGGTCAGCACCAAACCCAACAGAGGTCACACGGTGGCCAAGTGAAGGGCAGCAGGGAGCCAGGGGGGCTGGCAGGGGTTGGGTGGGCAGAGGACCCTGGGCAGGGTTCTCATAAAGGGCCTCAGGACAGGCTGAGGATGCCGAAGGTGGTTACAAAGAAGGAACCAGAGGAATAACCTGTTTGCCCTCTGGAAAGATCTCCGTGGGACTAGTGTGCACCCGGGATGGCTAGGGATTGGGCAAGGAAGAACGAAAGGCCCTGATGCTGATCAGCCTAGATTATTCCAGCACCTCATGTGGGTGGCCACAATCCCAGCAAAGATGTAAAGGCAAGGACAGAGGGGACTCAGGACAGTTCCCAGAGGAGGCCCAGGGAGAGCTGGTGAGTGCTGGGGCATGGGCAGGGGTGGGCTTTGGGAACCCAGAGGAGGATTTGAGAGAGAGGAGCAACAAGACCAGCTGGAGGTCATTCTGGCTGCCAGGAAGATCGGGCAGGAGGGCTGAGATGCAGCAGGTGCCCCGCTTGGGGGCATTTGCTGTAACCCAACAAATATGCAGATGGACTATGGAGGTGGGCTCTGGTGAGGGACTCAGGAGGGGCTTCCCTGAGGTCGGGGGTCCAAGTTCCAGGCCTACCACCCTCCAGCCCAGTGAGCTGGGGAGGGGGTACCTTCCCCGAGTCTCAGTTTCTGCCTGTGAGATGGACCCAGCATGACCAGACAGGCACTAATTACGCAAAGTGCTCAGCTTGGCCCCTGGCAGCCACGTGCCCTCAATAGAAAATGAGGTGGTGGTGATTCTAAATCATAATAATATTTGAAATTCAGGTGTCCATACTTACATTAATGCCCAAATCCCAGTGCTCTGAGGCCCCAGCTGCTATCCCAGTAGGAATCCCCTTTTCTAGGGATGCCCCACTGAAGACCTCTAGGGCCCCATGTTCGGGGGTAGGGGGAGGGGGCGTCACACAGGCTCAAGAATCCAGAGTCCACTGCTCTGCTGGGGTGGGGAGGAGGAACTCAGTCCTCTTCTATGCCCACCCCAGAACCTGCCAGCAGGTCCTGCTGGGCCATCTCCAGTGTGCTGCTGCCGCATGTCCAGTGTGGTGTCCCCATGCTCTCGGGAAACCCCCATTCTGGCTACACCACTTCATCAACTCTCCAGAACTCAAGGCAGACATTTCTATGTCTCTCTCTGGGCCCATACTCCCCAACCCTGGGCCCTCAGAGGATCAGCATTGTCTACTCATGTAGGGCAGTGGGCAGCCAGGGTCACTCTGGCTGGCCCTGCTTGCTTAAGAGTAAGGCCTCTCCTCCCCATAGCACATGGTCTCACCACCTCGCAACTGCCCCCACAATGGGCAGACAGGAGGCTGGGTCCCTGTGGTCACTGCCAGCACAAGAAGACAGCTGGCCACACCACACCTCGGCACAGCAGGTCCCAAGGGTGGATGTTGAGGCAGTGCCCAGGTAGTTCTCGGGACAGGCCCAGGGAGGGATTCTCAGGCTGCAGCTCTGAGAGCCAGCAGGCTCTGCATGGGGAGGGCTCGGGCACAGTGAGCAAAGCCAGCAAGGACACCCTAAGAGATGAGCCGTCCTTGGCCCAGCGGTGCCCCAGCCCCAGCTAGCAGCAAAGCCCGAATGCCAGCAGCAAGCGCACATATCTGGCAAATAGGCCAGTAAGGGAGCTTCCGCCTGGACCTGCCTTCATTCACCTCCAGCTGTGACAGGGTCCAGCAAAGGAGCTGTGACATGGCGTCCCAGTGGTGGTCTGCTGGGCCTCCCAGAAAGCAGAGGCTGTGGGCAGGGCAGTGAGGACCAATCCCCAAAGGCTGGGCCAGGTGGCCACCAACAGCCCCAGGCTGTCTAGTGGGGGGCCGAGGGGAGGAACCGAGCATGGTGATGGAAAGAGCCAGAGCCAGAGGGGTGAGGTATAAAAATCTGTATTTATATTACAATGACAGAATGATACAGCACTTCCCCAGCTGGTGGGCAGGGGGTGGGGGCCCATTTCCCACTCCAGCGCACCCACCTCACCAGCACCAGGCCTCAAGTGGCCCCAGAAATCTGGCACAGAACCTGCCCTAGTGGCCCAGACATGGGCCCCAGGGGTGCCCTGCAGTCGGGGTTAAGATCTTCCGAGCGGGCTGTGGGGAGGGGGCCCCAGGTTAGCTTACCCAGAGACAGGCAGGGGCTGGGTCTGCACAGCCCAGCAGGAAGGCGATGACCAGGGCAAACAGCAGGGCGGGCCACCACCTGGTGTGTGGCTCTACTGCCCAGGAACACAGGCCCCAGCACTGCCACTGAGACCGGGGCTAGAGTCAGGCCCTGGGCCCTCGTGCAGGCAAAGCCCCCTGCAGCCCCTCCTCTGCCAGCCAGGCCTGCACCAGGATGTTGAGGGCCTGGCATGTGAGGCCACCTCCCGGGAAGGGTGGGGGGACCCAAACTTGAGCCTGGGGTTCCAGAGTCTCAGCCACTGAGCACCACAGTGGCACACGTGGGCCAAGAGGGCACACGCAGAGGGCACAGGCACCCCAGTGCCCTGTCCTGGTCCCAGTTGCTTTTTACAGACACTACAACAGCCCTGGGTCCCCATGGCCACTAGTAATGACCAGCCTGTGCAAATGGCAGGGAGCTGGAGAGGAATAGATGTGAATAACTCTTAGCACCAGCCCCCACCCCGTGGGCCACACCGTACACACCCGCCGGGGGCAGGGATGAGCAGCTGACTCCCTGGCCGGCTCCCCTGTCCACCCAGGAACCGCAGCCTGAAAAACCACGGCTGAGCTGCCAGGAAGGTTGGCTGAGGGAGGCCACTACTGGTCACCTGGTTGGATTCTGTTGTCCAGAGGTTAGAGCAAACCCCCCAGGTGTTACAAGGTGGCAAGGGGAGCTGATGCTTCAAGAATCGAGAGCATGGACTGTCCTGGTGCCCGGAAGCAAGCACTCTCAGAGGTGTTGGGAACGCAGGCATGGTGGGCAGACTTGGGCCGGCAGCAACAGCCCCTGCCCGTGGGGCCAGAAGGACATTTGGACAGTCTCCCCAACTCCACGCACCCGCCCCACAAGCCTGTTCTCTGCCTCTTGTCCCAAGCACCTGTAGGGCAGGTTCTGTGCCAGAGCTATTTCCAGGGAGCTTCCCGCCTCAGTAGGCCACCCACTCTGGGGTGTCCATCCACATGGCTGAAAATAAACATGCATTTTCCCCAAGATTCTGAAATTGGTTACAGATGCACCGGAGAGGTGGCAGGCACTGCTGTGGGCCAGCCCCACGCCCACCACCCAAGTATTGCTGTATGGTCCCCAGGGACAAAGGACTTTAGGAATGCAAGGCCAGCAGAAGACTCATAATGCCAAGCCTGCACCACCCAGGGTCTTCGTCTGCTACCAGTATTTGAGACCTGGAGCCCCTGGCCTAGGCCAGGGAACAGGGGCTTGAGTCAGGTAGCAGATGAGGATCTATTTCTCTGGTTAGCAAGCAAGCCCCCAGAGGTGGCCTGATGTCCCCAAGCGGCAAAGCAGGCCCCTGCCAGATGCTGGAGAGGATGAAATTGGGGGCCAGATCATGGCCCCTCCTGCTGGTGGCAGAGAGCAGCCATATGCCCACACAGGCCTGGCTGCATCACTCCCAGGAAGCCTGGATGCTGGGAGGGGCTACCCACTGTGGGGGACATGTGATGGGCAGGCCAGGGGTGTCCTGTGAGCCACAGGGACGTGCTGGTAGTGGGGGCATGGCCAGACCTGGGACACAAGGCACACTATGACAACATGATGGAGGGATGGGTCCCTGAGACACTGGGTTGCTCCCATCCCTCAGCAAATAAGGATGTAACAACAGCTAGGAAAATAGAATACAAAAATCTCGTACAGGAAATAGAGGCGGCGCACGCTAACATCCCTTGGCCTAGAGTCTTTACAGCCTTTTTGTTTTCAAAAACATTTCTCTGTTTTGTTTTTTGGAAAAAGCCTCTCTGCCAGCAGAGGCGGACACAGCAGAACTCATGAGGAAGCCCCCTCTCCAACGGGCTCCCAGAGCCCTGTCTGGGCTGCCGGGCAGTGCAGCATCTTATTTCTTTAAAGGGAGATGAGAATGCTCCCTGAAGACCCAGAGGTTTCAACTCGCCAGCCTCCAGCTCACCCCAGCCTCTGCGGGAAGAGAAGCCCCGTCCTGTGTAGACCAGGCAGGTGTGGGTGAGCCGGGGGTTGCAGGGGGAGTCAAGTGCAGACCAGGGGCCAGCATTTGCCTAGGTGACCTCCAAAGGCCAACCTCCCTAGAACATGTAGCCTCTGGGTGCCCACACATCTGCGTGTGTGAGCGTGTACGCAAGCGCATGTGCCTAGGTGTGTGCATGTGTGCATCTGACAGTCCTACCAGAGCAGGATCTCCCCAGCTAGGGGTGGCATGGCCCAGCCCTGGCTCCTATGCCTACAGGGCAGGAAGGCCCCCATCCACCCACCTGCCTCAGGTGCTCACCCAAGTCCCGCCCTTCGTGGATCCCTCCATTCATGCCTCAGGAGCCTGCGTGGACCAACAGATGGACGGACAGACAGACAGCCTCGCCTTCCTTCCTTCCTTCCTTCCTCGGTCCAATCCTTTCTCCTGGGATCCAGGGTTGGGGTCTGGGCTCCCTGTGGTGGTCATTAAGTCCCTCACACGGTGCCCGCCGAGGTTTGCAGCAATGACATTTAATACTTCTGGAATGCTTAGGAATCTGAGAACAGACCATGGGTGGCTACGCTGGGCTCCAGGATGCAGGAACTAGGCCCTGCCTCCCTGCAGAGGGCCCTGTCCAGCTGGCAGGGTCGGGTGGCTCAGCGGGCCCTGACCAGCGAGTGGGCAGAGGTGGGCAACCCAGGCAGCAGCTGGAGCTTCCAGAATGGTACAGTGGTGGGCCTGTGGCAAGGCTGACGTCAGTCGAGGGAGGCCTGGAGGGCTGACACGCTTGGCTGGGCAGGTGGGCAGGCCAGGAGCAGAGGGCACAGGGCCTACAAGAGGCCAGGGCAGCCAGGCCGCCGGCAATGGGGCCCGTAGCCACCGTCGCTGCTGCCACCACTCTGCAGGCTGTAGTGGTCATCCACGTCACTGCTGCTGCCAACACTGTCCAGCTCACCGGGACCAAACTCCATGCCCTCTATGTCCACTTCTGGGGAGAACAGAGAGGGGTGGGGTGAGGCATGCTGTGGGCACCAGCCTAGGGCTCCTTCACAGCAAGGGTCTCTCTCTCCCTTTTCTGGAAGCAGAAGCTCTGCCAATAGGTGTGGAACTTCTATCTGGGCCCTGAGGCGGCAGACACTAGGATGGGCTCTGGGTAAGACCCCCAGCTCCTGAAGCATACTGCTGGGGCCAAGCCTGGCTCTGGCACCCATGGGGGCATGTTGCCCAGCCTCCGAGCCTCACCCTCCTTGTCCCATCCCTTCTGCATGCAGGTGGTGATGATGAATGAGCCGAGGCATGCAGCATGCTCAGACGGTACTGGGGACACCCCGTCAGCCCTGACCCTACCCCAGATGCCTCCTCTGCCATCCCCCTGGGGAGCTGCAAGAGGCCTGGGCCCACGTGCCCACCTTGCTCCGAGTCATCCGTGGAGACAGCAGAGCCTGTGCTATCTGTGCGCACACGCTCCACGCTCTGCACTGACAACTGCTCCAGGCGCCGCTTCAGGAAGCGATGCTCCCGCTGCAGCTGCTCCTTGATGCTCAGTGCCCGGCGGTCCTGCTCCTCCAGTTTCTGGGGATGGGGGAGCTGTGAGCCCTTGGCAAGGAAGGAGTGTCCCCGCACCAGGTGCCAGGCACAGAGGGCTGGGCAGGGCAAGCTCCCCATCCCCCCTACGGCTCAGCCAGGCCAGGGGCCACAGGGTGCCCAGTCCCTGCTGGCCCTCCCACAGCCTGATGTGCACCCTTCCCCGTTCCAGCCAGGCGGTCACCCACAGGTGCTACCTCTTAGCCCTGTGCTCTCCATCTACTGATCGGCTCTAGCACCCCCAACGGCCAGCCAACCTTGGTCAAGCAAAGTCATGTGGGCTTGAAGCCCTGGGTCAGTGCCACCCAGACTTCAGCTGAAACCTTCTCCAGGAGGACAGCCCTACCCCAAACAGCTCTTCTCGAACACTCTTGGCCCTGCCTGTCTCGGGCTTTGGCCTATGCCACAATGGTACCTGTAGCACCCTGCCCTCTCTAAACCTTCCTGTGGGCCCAGCTGATACACTGTCTGCTCTGCTCTCTGAGGGCCCCCAGGGCTCTGACCATTCCTCTCTCAAAGCTCCTGCCACCCCAACTGGAGGTGCCCATGCATGTGCAGGCAGAGGAAGCCCTTACAGGGGATGGACACTCACCCTGATGGGCCAAAATGTCACCAGACGCTAAACCAGCAAGTCTCAGTCTAAAGATCATGGGGGGGCTGCCCCAGGCAACATCTCCCTCAGCCCCGTGCACCGCCCCCTCCTACCCTGTCACCACCCAACAAAACCTGGTGCAAGCCACATAACCTCAGCCCAGGGAGCTCCTGCTGCTGCTCCCCTAGCCCCGGCAAAGACACCCAGGCCCCAATAGGCACCTGCCAAGCAGCTCCCCACTCACCCTCAGGCCCTCTGGTCAAAGAGCTGCCCCACCCCCCACCCCCACCACCAGGTGCATCCCGAGGCCACACAGGAATGGGCTGAGGTCAGCCAAGGCAGCTGGACAGGGCAGGGGCAGAGGGCACAGCCCCGCTCACCTTGATGTGCACCTTGGCACGCTTCAGGAGGCTCAGCGTGGTGTGGCGGGTGCTGTCGGGGCCCAGGGGCACCAGCTGCTTGAGCTGCTCCAGGTAGAGCCTGAGTTTGGCTCGTCTGAAAGAGCCAGAGATGGAACCATCAGGTGGGGGTGGCAAAGCCGTGGGGGTGATGGCAGGCAGGGCTGGCCTTAGAGGTCTGGAGGAGGCAGGAGCAGCTGGCTGGGCCCTGCACAGCTCCCAACCCTGTGAGGTGAGAGTCCCTCTCCAAGGATCCCCTCCTTGCCTGGCACCATCTGGACAAGGGTAAGCCCAGACCACCACGGCCCTGCCAGAGCCTCAGAGTGCCACCACCAGGCACTGCCCAAGAGCCCCTGCTTGCCCCGCTGCCGCAGCCCCGCATCTGGAGTCTGGGTGGCCAACGGGGCAGGGCAGGGGGAGGCAACAGGTGCTGGGCAGGGTACACGGAGGTCTGGGGGACTCAGATAAGATTTACATCCCCTCACCTCGCTGCAGACAACATGCTCTCTGGTCATTCTTGTCACCACAGAAACAGGTCCACCCAGGTCAAGAAGAGCCAAGGACTGGCCCCCTCCAACCCTGAGTTTGGTCTGCCTTTGGAAACTGCTTCATTCCAGAGTTTGTCCCAGTATCCACACAGATTAATCCGTTTTTTCACAAAACTGGAAATATCATATTCAGTGGTAGTTGTTCATATGACACAGTCCTCCAGAATTTGTTCATCGCGGGCCTCAGGAGAAGGGCATGGGCTTTCTCCTAGATCTGCTCTTGCAGAAACGCTGCCTCTCCTGGCTGGTCTGCGTGTCTGGGAGGACTGCCTGGTGGTACTCACCCTCAGGAGCTCCCTGATTTGGCCTGGGCCTCTGCCATATCCACACCCCACCTGGCCCAGCACCCCAGGATGCCGGTAGGCTTCATCACAGCCATGCCCAGTAGCAGACTGCCCAGCCCCACAGGCTGCCAAGGTCACTTGCAAACACAGGATGCTCTGCTTAGAAGAGATTCTTAGGAGTAAAACTGCCAGGTCAAGGGGTAGGAATATTTTTTGAGGCTTTTGGAAACTTGCTGCCCAACTGCCCTGTTGTCACCAATGCCTGTGTATGCTCCTTTCCCCAAGCAGCTTTAACATCGTGCATCCCCACCTTGTCATCTCTGCTCCCGGTGTTCCAAAGCCCCAGCAAATCCAGTCTCCCTGGGAGGGAAGCAGGCAGGACATTTCCTCTGGACAGAGGAGCCTGAAGCCCACAGGATGAGCTGCTGGGTCCAAGGAGTCTGCAGAGCCATAACAGCCCCACCTCTCAGGGGCGGGCTGCAACCTGTGGCCACTACGGCTGTCACCCACATCCACACAGCAACCTCCACTGACAAAGCACCTCACCCAGTGCCCCAGCCCACAGCACCATGGGACCTAGAAGTTCTTCTGGGTGAACCCGAGTTAAACCTTAAGAAGAACTTCCAGGACACAGGACTGAAGCTGGCATGAATTTGTACTGATACTGACTCCACCTCAACGCTGGAGGATCTTCAACACCACCCCCACAACTTTACACAGGCATAGGGAGGGATCCGAAGCCACCGTTCCATGACTGCCTTAAGTGCCTGGAACCTCAGCCTCCTCACCCCCCAGAGGGGCAGTGCCCACGACCCATCACCCCAGGAACCGTGCAGGCAAGAGGCACCAAGCTGGGTGAGGGCATGTCCCCACCATCCTGCAGCCACCACTGGACTAAGCTTGTAGGTGAGGATGCTGCCAGGGGCCCTCCGTTCCTGGCCCACTTGTTATAGAGCAAATGGCAATTTCTACAATCCACCATTTAATTACATCAGCAGCACATGACTACTGTGGAAAAATTAGAAGATGCAAATCAACAAAAAGAAAAAAAATTAGAAGTATCCCCAAATTCCACCACCCAAAGACAGCCTCATTATCATTTTAGTGTATCTACACTGTCACATCATGAATGTTAAGTGAAAAAAATTAGAATACGGAACCACATATGTGACAAGTGACCCAATTTTGTTTAAAAAATAAAACAGCAGACGCACACAAGAGACTCAACAAAACACAATGAAGCACAGGAAGCGTGCATCTCCAGGTGATGCGGTTGGCAATGTTTATTTCTTCAGCTTTGTGCTTTTCTGTATTTTCCAGGTTTTCTATGCTAAAAAAACCACATATTACTATTACAATCAAACACATTTGTACAAAAAAAAAAACACAGCTAAAAGACAAATAACAGTAGAAAAATATCTGCAATACATAGAAAAGACACACAGTTAGTGCTCCTGATATTCTGAGTGCATACACATCAAAAATGAACAGAGGAATACGTCAACGTGACAGCAGGCAAAAGACACAAGCAAGCAAGTTGCAGAATATGAGGCTAATCTAACATAACACTGACTCCATCTCACACGCGACCCAGGAAATGAAAACTCAAACAAGGAGATACCAATTGTCACCCTTCCAACGGGCTGAAAAGCAAAGGAGGGACTGGTTCTTCCCTGCTGGTACAGGGGACGGTTCGCAGTTTGTTGGTGGGAGAGCAAAGGGACAAAGTTCTGAAGGGCTTTGGCACAATCATCACCAACCACGGGCCGGTGTCTCTACTTCCAGGACCCAGGTCCTGCAAAACTGCCCCCCTCAGAATGCAACACTTGCGCTCACCAACGTTCTCTGCAGCAAGGTCTGGAGACCCCCTCGAGTTACCAGAGGGGCACTACTAAGGACCCCAGCAGGTGGCGGGGAGGAGGCCGCACAGAGTGTGTGACTAGGAGGACGCGCTTACTTGGTGTCAGGCGAGAGATCAAGTGAGGAAATATAGATAATGAGGTCCCCTTCCTATCCCAGCAACATTAGCACAAGTGTGGAGGAGCAGCCTCCCGAGTGCCTGGGACACAGTCTCTGGGGTGCAGGGGGTACCTGAGCAGATTGCTTTAGAAATTATAAAACGGACTTTTCTCAAGAGACAAAGGGAGGCCGTGTGACCACACACGTGCACTATCAATACTTGGTAGCATGTCCACCCATCCCCAGGAGAGAGTATGCCAGGGCTGCAAGCTGCACAGGTCCTCGTAGCTCCCTGCCCTGGGCAGCAGCTGTGACACGGCAGCCTAGGGCCAGGGCCTGGAATTCGCTCTGTCAATAGCCAGCTGTGGGACCCTGGGTGGGTGTTGCCCTCCTGAGCCCCAAAGTCCCACAGCCTGCAGCCACACTGGGCTCTCACTAAGCCCTCCTCCTGAAGCTGCTCTAGCTCCCCAGGCCCTCTGCCAGCACCCTGTGGCTGTCCTGAGCATTCCAAGGCACTTTTAAAACCCACCACTTCCTAAAGAAAGACTGTGTGGACTCAGGAGGCAGAACCTGCCTCTGAAACCAACAGCAGCTCCGTCACCAGGGCTGCCGCAGCCAGGCCCTTGGCATGGGCCCAGCCCACCCCAGCTTCCCCTGCAGACCCAATCCTTAGAGGAGGACCCAGAGCGCCTAGAGGGCTTGGCTCCATGCCAGGGTCCCAGCCAGCCAGCAGAGCCACACTCTGAACCACGCCAGGCCTGGCTGCCAGAGAAGAGGCAGCAAGGAAATACACCGACCAGTGGCCCTGGGGGGCCGCGGGGACAGGAGCAAGGGCAACTCCCACTCTCCCCTTGCGTTGACCTGCATTTTTTGGTTGTTGCTAACAAACTCACATTGCTTGTGTGGTTTGTGAAGGCTGCATGTGGCTGCCCCGCAAAGGGAGGGGTCTACCCAGGACCTGGACAAGCATCTCTATGCTTGGGGGTGGAAGTTGGCAGGGCCCACTAAGGACTCTGGACTGGCCTCTGGGATTCTGGGATGGGCCCTGCCACTGCAGGGAGTGCTGAGAGGGCCAGGATGCAGGCCAGGGACCCTCCCCACAATTGTGCTAAGGCCAAAGCCTAGAGCTGGGCCATGAGGGTCACCAGACCAAGAAATGTGTAGCCTCCTTAAGCCCCAGGCCCCTAGAGTCAGCAGCTGAGCATCGCTGAGCAGCCCTGCTGGAGGTGCTTGGCTACAGTGGAGGAAGGGGAGGGGAGTAGGGCAAGGCAGGCCTCAGGGTGGCCTGGCTTGGCTGAGAACATACAAGGGGAAGTCCCACAGGCCCAGCCCAGCCCCAGTGAGGGGACACCTCCAGGGAGGTTGATGTCCAGGGCCTGCCTCCCAGGAGCGGCTGGTGGCCCAGCCAGGTGCTTCCTTCCTTCCTCAGGACAACATGCAGCCCTTCCTGCGGCCAGCAGCCAGGAGCATCCGGCATCGGCCTTGGGCCAGCCACAGGTAGGCTACGATTAAAGTCCCTGCCAGAGCCCTAAGCTCCAGGCCTGTGGGTGCTCAGGGCTGCCCACACTTGCCTCTTGGCCAGCCAGAAGCAGAGACCACTGCACTGGGCTGAGGGAGCCTACAGAGTCACTAGGCTGCCCACCTATCTCCCCCCTCCCCACCCATGTTTCACAACTCTGGAGGAGATGGCAGAAGCCAAGGCCAGGGTCAAGGAGCAGCTGCAGTGGTCAGAGGCTGCCACACCCTTGCCACCCACCCTCCCCCAGTGGCATCCCCATCTGTCCTTCCAGCCACCACCTCCAGGAAGTCTGCCTCCACTTGGCCTGCCCAAGTTCTAGGTCCCAGTCAAGGCCAGCCTGGTCTCCTCTGGCCTGGGAGCAACTCCAGGCCTGCCCAGTTTCCTCAGGCCCTGCACCTGCCCCCGCCTCTGTGGTCTCTAGGGAACCCCCCAAACACACATGGCCAGTCCAGGAAGTTCAGTTCCTCAGAGAACACAGCGTTCCGCCCCTGCCCAGCCGCCCGCCCCAGCTAGCAGCCTGAATCCTGGGGGAGCAGAAGTTGGTACTGCCGTGGGTGCAGACATGGGGGTGGGGGGAGGTGGAGAACTGGTCGAGTGCCAGAACTTCCAGAGCAAGCCAAGGAAGGCTCAACTGGCAGGTAGAACTGCCCCTGCCAGAAGGGAAGAAAGAACTGACCCATTTCACAGATGGGTGCAAAGTCAGGAAGAACAATCACCCGGCATCCCTCAGGGGGTCTCCCTGGTCCTGGCAGGGGGCTCCTGCCTTTGGCGCTGGCTAGCCCATGGAGGCTTTGTACTCACTCAAGGCTCCGGAGCTCACTGTACCATGTCCCCACTGGCACAGCTGGGTGTGCAGCCCTAGCAGCCCCAGGCCGGCACCAGTTAGGGAAGGGACACCTAGTAGCGTTACATGCAGAGCCCCAGGCTAACTGGGGCCGGGGCAGAGGGACTCCTAGGTGGCCGTGCTCCTCCATGGACCCAGCCCTGCAGTTGAGTGGACATGAAGGGGGCTCACCTGAATCCTGCCCTGGGCCAGAGCTTCCCACCAGGCCCACGTGACCTGAGACTAGCTGCCCCCACACTGGACAAGACTCTAGCATGGCTACTTGGAAGGCAGACCCCAGAAGGAACAGAGGCAAAGGGCATGGGGCTGAGGGGTCAGAGGCCCCAACTCCTGATCACAGCCCATCATTCACTGCACAAGGGGTCCTGCTCCAAGGCCCAGCCACCACCTGGCTCTGGCCCCCAGGCTAAATTCCCTGGAGCAAAGCCTGGGCAGCCCCCCAACCCCCACTCCCAGCACAACAGTGATCCTGGCCTTCTCCTTTAAGGAGGACCCTTCCCAAGACAAGGGCAGAGCCTGGCAGCATAGTCAGCCACGACCAGGCCAGGCCAGGTGGGGGGCTCAGCAGCCACAGCATCCCCTCAGCAGAGGGAGGCCAGGTGTGTCAGGCAGCTCAACTGGGGGGTTGGGGAGGTGTCACTTACCTGTGCTTTTCTAGCTCGTTGTGTGAAGACCTGTTCAGAGAGACAGAAAGACAGAGCTCACTGCACTGCCCAACCCCCAGAATATAAAGACCGGGGGCTGGGGGTGTGGGGGGCAGGGACCTGCAGACAGCAGCTAGGGCGGGTCTGGGATCCAAAATGGCCCAGGGTGGTGAGGGCTGGGACAGGTGAGCAGCTGCCAACCAAAGGCCTGCAGGAACCACATACTGAGCCACAAGGACAGGGAGGCATGGAGGTGCACTCCAGGGCCACCAGGCCACTTAGCAAGGTCCACAAGGGCTCTGGCGGGCAGGAAGATCCAGACCCCTTTGGGAAGGGGTAGGGGAGGCCCAGGGAGCAGCAATAGCCAGTCCTGGGGCTGATCCACCCAGCGCCCCACAGTTGCCTGGGCAGCCAGCAGCCTGCCTTCTCTGCTCCCCACTCCCTAAGGCTTGCTGTGTCCTTGGAACCAATGTGGGCCAGCACAGAGGACCAATGGCAGGTTGAGCTCAGGGAACGGAGGCCAGGTCCTCAGGAGACCGGGTGGTCCTGTCCTGACAACACCAGCTTGTCAGGCTCACAGACCTACGTGATCACAGCGCACAAGACCAATAAGGATACCCAGGGACAGAAAAGTCTCAGCCAGGTCAGCCCACGAGGGGGCTTCTGAGACACGGGTGCTTGCTGGGCCAGTGAGTGCAGGGGGACACTGAGGCTGGCCCTCCTGCTTCCCTCAGGAGCCATGCTCTGGCTGGACTGGCTGTCCTGGGCCCAGGCTCAGCTCTCTGGGGACGGGGTACTGCCTGCAGCTCATGCCACCTGTCTGGCCTATTCAGACAAGGCACAGAATACCGCACACAACAGGGGTACAGTGCCAATGCATTTGCCCTGGAGGACAATGATGCAGCGGGGCCAAGCTCCTAGCTCCAGGTCACCTCCCAGTGCAGGGGGACCCAGGAGGCCAGCCAGGTCGCCCAGGCTGCTGCACACATGAGCAGAGAGCCTAGGCCACTTGAGGCATATCCAGATTAAGCCCTGAGCCCTCTCCCTGCACCAGACCCTACCCCTTCCTAAAGCTTCTGCTGACCACTGCCTGCCTGCTCCCACACTCTCCTGCTCCAGAGACTTGGGATTTGGTGTCTCCTGTCCCCATCCCTCAGGCTGGATTGCCTGCCCCACCTACCTGGTCTGCTGCAGCCAACAGGGCTGGGGGGATGCCAGCTGCTGGGCCTCCCCGTGTAACCTCTGGGCTAGATCCCACCTTGGAGGCAGAGGGGCACTGCCTGGGCAGCCTGGGGGATGCAGAGGGGCCAGCCCTCCTCCCCCGGGAGTTCTTCCTGGGCCCAGAGACCCTTGAGGCCCTTGCAAAAGAGTTGTGTAACACGGGTCCCAAGAGTATCCTATCCCTGAGGAGAGGTGGGGCTAGCCCCCTCTAGGGCTGTGCCAAATGCTTCCAGCATCACCTCGGCCCTTGTCTGCTCACTTTCTGGTAGAACCGAACCCCTGTGGGCTGGCTCCAGGCCCCTCCTGCTGAATCACAGCAACCACTGGGGCCACGTCTCCCCAGACCCAATCCTGCCCTCCTGCCCACTACCCACCTCTCAGCCTGGTCCCTGCTGTGCCCCATCCCTTTCCCTCACCTAGGCAGGACACACAAGCCCCACAGGTGTGGGTGGGGCTGCCCCACCAAATCAGAGGCTCCAGGACCCTCTGCCCCTGCTCTGCCCTAGCTCCTTGTCTGGCCTGGCTGAGGACAGCCTCAAGGGCAGCAACTGCCAAGCAAGAGGCCATGTCTGTCGGCCTGGGGCTGCCTGAGGCATGGGGGTAGTCAGGCACTGCCCAGGGGAGCCGCAGGGGAGATGGGCCCAGCTGAGGAGCCCTCCACATCCCTCACCAGTGCCCCCACGTCTCCATCCCAGCAGATGTGGAAGGGCAGGACCCCACCTCGGGACAGGAAACCATCGGAGATGAGTGGCTTCAGTCAAGTAACTGAATCTCTCTGTGCCTCAGTTTCCTCAGCGGTAAATGAAAATTAAAAATAACGTCACCTTTATGGAGCTGGGGGGAAGATTAATCAGTTGTGTGTGTGAAACACCTAGTGCAGAGAAAGCATTCAGGGAGCCTCAGCTATGATTCTGGTTGTCAGCTTTGGGTACTCCATGCCATAGGAACCTGAGGTCACATCCTGCAGTTTTGTACAGGTAGCAGGGACTTGGGATGGGGAAAGATGGCATCAAGGGCCAGGCTTGCTCACTGAGGAGTCCCCAACACGCTCATGTCCTTCTCCAAACTGTCCCCAAAGGGGACAAGGGGCTGGGACTCAGAAATAGGTCCCAGACAGGGCAGCTGGAGACTCAACCAATTCTTGGCCAGGCTGAGAACGCCAGGACGCCACAGAGATGGGTCCCTGTGCCAGCCTTTCTGTTTCCCAAGAACAGGCAGGCCACAGGAATGAGCCACACCCTCTGCCAAGGGGCCCTGAAGCCCCCTGCGAGCGCAGCTCCCAGCCTGGTGACATGGAAGTAGCTGGGCCAAGGTGGGCCCCCAGACAATGCCAAGTGTGCCATGGTCTTCACAGCAGCCAGGAGAGTGGAAACTCTGGGGAAAGTCCTAGCCCAGGGTCCCCACTCCCCACCCAGGGAAGTGCATGCACCCTGCTTTAGGGCTTCTGCAATCTGAGCACAAGGCCAAGGGCATAGAGGCAGTAGCTGGCACCAGGAGGAACTCCTTCACAGAGCCTGCCCCTGCAGCCGACCCCCTCTTCCTGCTCCCTTAAACTGGCCTCCTGTCCCAAAGAAGAGGACGCCTGCACTTGTAGCTGGAGTTTCACTGTGTCCGGAGGCCAGGCAGGAGCGGTGGGCACTTTGGGAGGAGTGGAGGCCCGCGCAGGGCCTCCACGCGCCTTCTTTGTCCAGGCTCCTGAGGGACTTGGCTCCTGGGGGTAGACAGAGAGAGGCGGTCCACCCACCCGCGGAGAGAAGGGATTAGGGCCGGCAGCCCCACGGCGCCCCAACTCAGCCTCAGTTTCTCGGGACACGCGGGGCGTCGGCCAGCGCCCACTGACAACTTTTTTCCTGCCTGGAAAAGTCCAGAACAACTTGGGGGCGGGAGCGGCTGCGGGAGGAGACCCCGGGCGGCGGGCGCTGTACGCGTGGCACTGTTTACGCGAGAAGCCGAGGAGGCGCGGCCGCGGGAAGATGGCGACGGCGCGGGCGGGGCGCGCGGGCGGGGCTGCGGCCGCGGCCCGGCGCGCCTCCTCCTCCAGGCTGGCCGCCGGGGCGCGCGGCAGCACAGCGAGGCTGCGGGCCGAGGATCCGCGCGGAAGGATTCTCCGGGTAGGGACGGGGCTGAGCTCGGGCCGGGCCGAGCAGAACTGGCTTCGGGCCGGGCGGGGGGCGGCAGCACGGGGGGCGGTACCTGTTGTTCGGGGCCTTGCGCACCAGGCCGGCCGCCTTTGTTTTCTTCCTGGCGAAGTCGCCGTCGAAGGGCAGCACTGAGGCGTAGCCGTGCTCGGCCTCTGCGGACAGACGGCGCGGTCAGCGGACCCCCGCCCTGCCCGCGCCCCGCCGCCCGCCCGCCGCCCGGCGCACAAAGGGGCGCGGGCGCTACCTCGGTCCCTGCGCTCCAGGTACTCGGCCGCCTCCAGCAGGATCAGCAGGGAATTCAGCTCCATCCTCCTGCCCGCGCCGCCCGCACGCCCGGGGACGGCGGCGGCCGCTGCCCGGCCCGCTCTGGCCGGCTCCGCTCGCCGCCCGCCCCGCGCGGCCGCGGCACCACTTCCCAGACTCGGCGGACTCGCTGTGCGCTCGGCCGCCACCCTCCGCCTCGGGCCCTCAAATTGACACATAAGGGCGAGCGGCAGCCGGCGCAGCCAATGGGAGCAGGCGCTGCTTCTTCGGGGGCGGGCACTGGGCTGGGCCTAGGCCAATGGGGAAAGGCCGAACGCCTCGGGCCGGGCCGACAATGTTGACAGATGCGAAGCTCGGTTCCGATAGGCCGGCCGTGGTAGTAACAATTTAGAAGCCCAAGCTTAGCAACAGCACGTGGTGGCCCGGCCCCCGCGCGCGCTGACTGGTGGCGGTCGTGCATGTTAAGTAGGCTCTGTGCGCCGATTGGGCCAGAGCGGCCTATGTAAAGTAGGGGCCGCGGACCAATGACCGGCGGCAGGGCGCGCGGCCAATAAGAGCGCTGCGGCCCGACACATTGCCGAGAGGAAGCGGAGCGCGCCGGGGACCGCCAGTGCCGGGCCCAGCGCCAGGCCCAGGGAGACAAGGGGCGCGTCTTGAGCGACCCCCGGCTTGGGCGTGCGCCCGCAGCGTCACCGGGGCCGCGGGTCTGTGCACAACACACTCAGGAGCCTGTACCCAGCGCCAGCTGCGACACTGGCTCCGCGGGGACACGGGGCCTCGAGGTCTGCTCAGGGGTCTCGCGTGGGACTGCAAACGACTCCCCTCCCCACTGGAAACAGAGTGGCCCCAAGAAAGGCTGAGCCTGGGGGTAGGGGCGCAGACAGTTTGAGCCTAAAAGAGCCAGGCCTCTGAGGGTATCAATGGGGAAACTGAGGCCCAGAGTGGAAGGGGTCTTTCAGAGCTGCCCAGTGGACACCAGGGCTGAAGGAGGGGCCCCAGACCCAGAGAAGGGGACAAAGATCCGCCGCCACAGTCGAGTGGGGCTTCCAAGAGTGGAGTGCTGTGTGCTCTGTGTCTGGTCTGAGGGTGGGGACATTCGCTGGCTGTCCCCTCTGGCCAAAGAAGCTCTTTTCTAAAGGGGGAAGTCGCCCTAAGTGGGACGAGGACCCTAAGGCTGGCCCAGGAGGTGCGGGACTGGCCTCAGCGCTGCCCAGTGCTCCTTGATCTTCCCTCTCACTGATTTTTGAGGTCAGTGGCCTGGGTGCTCCTAAGAGTGGGACCAGCAGGCTGGAGAGTTTTGTGGCATAAGGTGGCTGGACCACCCTACAGAAGTTCTAAGTGCAGTGGGGGGATGCCGCCAAGAAAATAGAACAAAAAACTGTAAAACCTCAGCACTTTTAGCCTTCAGACTGATGTGAAAGCTTTATATGCATTTCCTTATGTATTTCTGCATGCCCAGTTACAGATAAGGAAACCGGGGCCCTTGAGGTTCAGGGACTTGCTAGGGTCCCCCAGATATCCCAGCAGAATGGAGATTAGTGCTTCCACACACGAGATTCAGGGCCAGTGACACAGGAGTGTGAAAACCAAAGCCACCTGGCCCAGCCACACCTGCTGGGGTGTAAGCCACAGTTGTCAGATCTGTGAAGTGGAATTAAGAATACTGTGTGCTGCAGGACCCAACCGGGACGTGAGACAGCCCTGCATGGACATTAATGCCCTTGATGTTAATGGGGCTCTTCTGGTTCCTGTGCCACATCACCCTGGGGCCAGGGCAGAGGCCCTAACAAGAACTCAGTGCTGAGTCCCTCTAAGTTAGTCTGCCTAGAGCTGTGCAGGGTGAAGGAGGGTGCCAAATCTGGCGAGGAGTGGGATGCATTCTGTGTTGTGGGGACCTGGGCTCTCTACCTGCTGGTCAGCATTTTGCAAAGTTCCTCCATCCCTGCTTTGGCTGCCCAGTGGGTTGCTGCCTGCCACCTCCCTCGTGAGATTGTGCCTGCTGGGCACAGTGCCCTGCTTCCTCCCTGCCATGGGGTGAGGGGTTTGTTCAGTGCCACAGCCGGCAGGACAGGCGCCCAGGTGTGGCTGTGGGGAGCTATCTGTGTACCACCTCCCAGCCTGCAATTCTTAACTTGGACCTAGGCCATTTCACCCCCACCCACCCACTGCAGCCAACCCAGGATCAAGTACTTCCCAGGTGCCTGAGGGGCACAACTTTGCCTGGGAGTGTGTTTGTGGGTGCCACCGCCTGGGGGAGTGTGCAGGAGTGGTGAGGGGACTGCGAGGGCCTGGGCAGACCAAGGACCAGGGGCAACCAGAGAGGCGCCACAGGCTAGCAAGGATGGGAGGGAAGCGGAGGAAGGTGGCCAGCAAGTCCTGGAGCCAACTTCAGCCAGGCCTGTGTGGCTGTGGCTGGGCCTGGAGGCCCCCAGGGGAGATTTGGAAGCCACTGCAAGCCAGAGCCAGCAGGGTGGGGAGGACATACAGGTGAGGGGCTGGTCTCTCCTGGGGCTGGCTGGGCCTCTCCACCCACAAGCCTCAGCATGCCCCCCCAAGATGGGCAGAGGCACCTCGGGTCAGCACTGAGGCACACAGCCGCCTGTGGAGCCCCAGGGGGGAGGTTGTGGAAGGGAGCACATGGCTTGGGCTGGCCTGCAGGGAGCAGGATGTCCCAGGCCCCTTCTGAAGCAAGGTCCCCAGGGAATCTCCTAGAAGCTTTTCCTGGGCCCAGTCTGGACCAGGTGCCTCCTTCCCCATCCCCTCCCCCAGGCCTGCTCTGCCCTTCCTGCCCCTTCTCCAGGGAGCCCATGGCCAGGAGGGAGGGGCAGACATCTCAAGCCTTCTGCCCAGGGGAGCCCAGTCCCCTTAGCCTGCTCTGGTGGGGGCTTTCTCCACCCCCACTCCTGAGCCCCCTCCATGCACCCAAGCCCCCAGGGCCTCCACCATGCAGCCCTGCTGGCCCAGCCACATGCCCCTCACTGCCCCATCCTCTAAGCCCCCAGCCCAGTCTTAGACTGCCCCTAACCCCCTGGAGTGTTCTCCCTCACTGCCCTTTTGGGGAGCCCAGCCTCCCCCACCCCACCCCAGCCAGCAGCTCCAGGAGAAGGGCAGGACCTGAATCTAGAAGGGGCTTCCCCAATTTTGGGTGGAAGGCCAGGGCTGGTAAGTCTTCAGTCTGCCTGGACTTCCCCCTGTACTCCCCCCACCCTCCCCCTGCCCGGGTTTTCTTCCCCCACCCCCAGCCCTGCCTCAGCTTCCCGAGCTATAAAACAAGGACACTCTGTCCACCTCTGGGGGCAATAGGAGGATGGGATGAAGGATCCCTGGTTCAGCCTGGGAAAGGCTGCCTTACTTCCCTCCCCCAGGATCCCATGAGGGTTTCAAAGGCTCTAAGGAGACCTGAGGGAAAGAAACCTCTGGAAGACTGCTTCCCAGCCTTCCCTGTGCTTACTGAGCCCAACTTCCTTTCTCTGGACTCAGGATCACCAGCCTCCCTGTCGCCACCGCACACGAACGTGGGCACCCTGGTTCTGGAACGCACCCTGTCCTCTCAGCCTGTCTGAGAGCCTCAACACACTGCACTACACCCCCAGGGTGGGGAGCTTGGTGAGGCTTACCCTCCTCCAGGGCCTGTTTCCCTGCACTGCCAGGATGCCTGGCCCCAGCGCCACCTCCTCTCTCGCCTTTGGCCTCCCCGGTCACTGGGGCAGATGCCCTGCAGCCCCGGCCCCCAGCCCCACATTCCGGGCAGGAGGCTGCCCTGCGTGTCTCCTCCCCTGACCTGAAGCCTGCCTCTCCTCAGACCCCGGGGGTGGCTGGCGTGGGCAGCTCCCTCAGGCAGGTCCTGGGGAACAGCCCCAGTCATCAGGCACAACTGGCCCAGCGTGTACCTACCCCCCAGAAGCCTTGGCCTCCCTGCACTGAGAGGCCTGCTTGTGTGCCAACACCAGGGGGGCGTCCTGGGGAGCTCTGTCAGGGGGTCCCACCCTCAAAGACACCCTAGATTCTAGTCTGGCCATGACAAGTTGACCAACTCACTTAACCTCTCTGAACCCCAGTTTCCCTAGCTATAAAATGGGGGTGCAATGAGAATGCATGCAAAGCCCTGGGCTGCAGCGGGCTGGGCACAGGGGGTGCCCAGGAAGTGGCAGGAACCTGAAAATCAGCCCCAAATCAACAAGTGCTTCTAGCCCTTGGCCCTGCCCACAGGGCAATGGGGCCTCAGAGAGATGGGGCCTGCCCAGTCACAACTGGTCACAGCAGTCTTGCTCAGAACCTGGGGTGGGGCAAGGCTGCCCTGGCTGGCCAGCCGTTGGCACCAGGCCAGGCCTCCAAGCATTTGGGGGCCTTCCAAAAAGTTTGACACTCAGGAAGACATCGTTTCCAGAGTACAAAAAGAAGACAGCAAAATCAAAATGCATGAAAATGTAATTAAATATCTACATAATGTAATGTCAACATTATTTTTTAACTTAAAATAAGAAACAGTTCATTATATTTGTGAACAATTAGTGGGGCAGACGTTTTTCTCACTTTACAAACTTTTCTCTCTGTGCTGATGACCCCTGGACAACCTAGACAATTGTAAATTAAATGAATTTCTTATAGCCAAAGTGTCCAAAAGCAGAAGAGTAAAACTTCTTTTCAAAAACTTTTACAGGGAAAAAAAAGGTTATGAAGGAGGGTTGTGGTTGCAGTTCAGACACTTGCCGTGGCGTCAGGGGATGGCTTCCCAAGTTGGTAGGGCCACTGACAGCTGGATAGGCCCGGGCTCAGGCCACCAGAAACAGAGGGGCCCAGCCTGGCCCTGCTGCTGCTCCATGCCCTCTGTGGTGCTGAGGCCCTTTCTTCTTCAAGGCCTGGGGAGGACCAGCTTGGGGTAGAAGAGCAGGTCTTCCTCCCACGAATGGCAGGGGCTCTGCTGAGGGGGGGGGGGGGTTCTGCTATCTGGGAAGCCTTCCTGGAGGAGGTGCATCTGGGTGGGCCTGGTAGCACCTCCAGGATTCTGGGGCATGGGAGTTGCATGGGGTGGGCACTTTGGGTCCTGCCTGCCTCCCCTCAGCTCCCACTGCAGAGTCCAGGTAACAGGAAAAGCAAGAGCTGGGTGAGGCCGAGGCACTGGGCCCAGAGACAGGCTGGAGTCGCCCCTCCAGGGTGCTGTCAGCTGCCACCCCAACCCTTCCCCTTCCTCCCCAAGCCATTTGGGCATGGTCTGTCCTGCCTTTGGTCATTGCTGTGTCAGGCCTCTCTGGACCCTCCACCATCTGCAGGACCTTGAGGACAAGGGCCTGGCTACTGGGTCTGGCTGCACTGGGGGCTCTGTTCAGACTTGGGGTGCCTGGCCACAGTGGGCGGCCCCTGCAGGGAAGTGCTCCAGGTTCCCCCAATACAGCGGAACCCTGGCAGCCAGGCTCCCGAGAGGAGGCAGTGGGGTGGGGTGCCCCTTGGTGGCCCTTAGGGCCTATAGCTGGGCTCCCTGCTTCATATCCGCCTCCCCACCCCACCCCCACCCCTGCCCCCGACTTGGCGTCCATCACCTTCATCACCAAGAAGGACACTTCTTGCATGCACACCCACGCTGCCCCAGGGCCTTCTGCCCTGTGCTCCTGGCCTCCTCATCCTTGCTCAGCCCAGGAACCAGCACAGCTCAATGGTGTGGGCTGGGGAGACCTCACTGCCTCCCAGACAGGACAGCTGGCTGTTGGCCTGGGTGCTCCCCCACCCAGGAAGGCAGGCCAGGCCACAGGCTGCTGTAGAGATGAGCCATGGGGGGCCACAGGGGCAGTTCCAGAGGCCATGGTGTGGGGATGGGAGGGGGGTCTGGAGCCACCTCTGTGGTGGCTGAGCTGAGCCCACAGTGGAAGGGGCAGGACCCAGTGGGGCTTCCCCCTTCCCTACCTTGTGCCACCTCCCCAAGTTACGATGTGGCGATCTCTGCCCCAGGGCCTGCTCCTGAGCCCCTGGGACACCTGTTCTGTGACTTGTGGGCCTATCCCTGGGAGCTGCAGGCTGCCTCTGGGGTCCTGAGCCCCTGCAGGGTGGGCACAGCCCAGCCTTCAGGCCCCTGCCTGTTCCCCGAAGCTGGGGTGGGGTGGGAGGTGCTGGAGAACAGTGCCTGTGCACAGCCCAGAGAGGGCGGGAAGCACCGCGCTCAGGGCAGCCTTGCCTCCCTCCAGCTGCCCCATGAGCAACCGGGTGGAGCCACTGCCTCTTGAGGCACCTTCCCTGGCTCCTCACGTCACAGGATGCTTCTGCTTTCGCCTCTTGTGGGATCCTGCTAGAAGCCTGCGACCCAGCTCTGCCACTTGCTGACCTCTGTGAGCCTCAGTTTCCCCATCTATAACACAGGGATCCTGCTGCCTTGAGGGACTGTCGTGGGAGCAGAGGGGACAGCATATGTGAAGCCAGGGAACGCAGCATGCTCAGGAAACACCAGCAGGAAGGACCATGGTGGTGAGGATGGGGAAACTGAGGCTCAGGAATGCTGACCTGCATGTGGTCCTGAGGTTGGCCTGCAGGGGCTGACTCCAGATCCAGAGCCCTGGGCACTCCCCCCAACCCCAACCCCAGTTCTCCCAGTCAGGAGCCCCAGCTGTGGGTGGGCAGCAAGTCATCCCTTCTAGATTCTTCCTGAGCTGGATTCTGCCTGGGACCAGCCCTTCTCACCCCAGGTCCTGGCTCTGCCTTTGTGGCAAGGATAGCCCCACAGTAGGGTAGGGTGACTGAACATCCTGAGTTTATTGGGCAACCCCAGAGTCCAGGAAACCCCTTATTTCTGTGTGAACAGGACAGTGGGCCACCTCGTGGTAGGGCTCCTGTGGCCCCAGTCCTTCCTGCAGGGCAGCTCAGGGAGAGGCTGCCTCCTTCCCCCTGGCCTGAAGGGTTCCCAGGACCTGGCCACATGCAGATCTTCCTGTCTGCCACCCTGGGGCCCAGGCTCCACCCTCTGGGGGGCAGACCTGCCTTCCTGGTCTCCACCCCCTCTCCCACCTCTGACCTGGTGGACAAGGAGGACCACCACGTCTCAGGTGTCCAGTGTGGGTGCCTGTGAAGAGAGAGGGGGCCCACAGAGCAGATCCATGAAGGCTTCCCTGCGGGGGTGATTCCACTATGGCACAGCTGTCCACCAGAGTAGGGAGTGGGATCTGGGGGGGAAGAACCATCTCTCTGTGTTCTGTTCAGATGTGGGAGGATGGACCCAGCCTTGGGCAGCCAGAGATACTGAGGTTCCATGGATGCCCTTCTCTTCTGCTCCCAAAGGCAGAGAGACCCCACTTTCTAAAATACTTTCTCACCAGGCAGAAAGTGCCCCATTCTCTGGCCCTCCAGTGCCCACCTCCAGGGGCTCAGGCCTATCCCTGTGACAACCCTGTTCTCTCCAGGACCCTCCAGAAGGCAGCCCCCAGGCTGCTGGGCAGCGAGGCCCTACGACCAGGGTCCGCAGGTGGGGTGGGCCCCAAGATGGCAAGAGCCAGGGGTCTGGGCTGAAGATGAGAAGAGGAACGAAGCAGGAGGGTGGGCAGGTGGGGCACAGAGCCCTGAAGGCGTGGATGGGACTTGCAGGGAGGCAGGGGGTGACCTCTTCTCTCCTGGGGGCTGACAGGGAGCCAAGGCCTGCCCTGCAGTTGTCCCAGGAGTGCAGAAGCCCCCAGCTTCCTCGGCAGAACGCATGTCAGCATGAGCACCGTCGCTTTCCAGACAGAGAAAAAGGAGTCAGCGTTCACAGAAAAAATGAAAAGCGTCTGCAATCCTTAAATAGATTTATGGAAATGGTTTTGAATTACAGCATTTAGAAAATAAATATAATCTCAATACATAATATTCTCTCCATTATATACTCTCCCCCCACAGAAGCCATTTTTCTGCATGTGTAGTCCACTGTTAAATAGTAATTGCATTTTATCCTATAAAAGAAGCAGTAGGTGTGTCATCTCTACAAATAAAACTGCAATCATCGTTGCAATGTGAAGCCTGAGATTTAAGCCTGAGGAGGTGTCTGTGCTGGGGCCACTCTGCTGTGTCAGCTTGGGTCCAGGCTGCTCTGGGGTCTGAGGGAGTGGGCCAGGATCCCAGGGGGTACAGAGGGAAGGGGGTCGTGGTGGCCACATTGGCAGCCCCCAGCGGTCCTGGGCTGCTTGGTGAGCTTGGATCCAAGAACCTGAGCAACCTCCGGGCCCATGGGTCTCTGCGCTGCCCGGGCTCTGCCAGCAGGTGGACAGTGGAGGGCAGACACCAGGCCTCTGCTTGCCCAGAGGCCCACTGAGTGGCTTCCCACACTTCCCCCGCCAAGAAGAAATGAGATGCATGAGGCAGGCCAGCGAGGGTGGGCACTGGGGAGGGTGGTGGGCCGCTGTGGGAAGGAAGGGACAGCCTGCTATTTCTGATTTGGTGAGCGCACGGGAAACCCTGCCGTGACGGGGAGCCTGCCCAGTTGCCCCATGCCTGCTTCTAGATTCACCGGACAGAAGAGGCCCCTCAGGGAGGCCACTCTCCTGCACACACCAGTCATAGCAGAGCTCCTGTGGACCAGCAGGAAAGCCCGGCCCACCTGCCAGGCCCCCTGCCACTGGGCTCCCTCCGTGGGCCAGGCTGACCTGTCACCCTGCATCCGGCCTGGGATCCCTGGGTGGGGTCCCAGGCCAGGGTGGGTGGGATGGAGGCTCCAAACAATCTGGAAGTCTGGGCAACCCTAGGGTGCGGCAGCTGGATGAGACACAGGGAGACGCTCCCGTCCTTCCTGGGGGTCCTGCCTGGGGGTGGGGGCATGTGGCCCGGGCCATGTCACAGGCCCGCCTTGTCACTGTAGAAGGGCGTGACGTGGAACATGTAGCAGTGCGTGCACACACGGACAGGCTTCACCTGCCCGTAGCGGGGCAGTGGTGCTGAGTGCGAGGAGCAGCGGGAGCAGAAGATCTAGAACAGGGTAGGGGTGGCATGGGGGTTGGGGGGAGTGAGGGGCGGGACCTCGCCAGCCAGCCAGGCCCCTCCCATCCAGTGCCAGCAGGGCAGGTGGTGGGTCTGCCTGGTCCCCAGCCCTACCACTGTGGTGCTAGAACCACCAGGAAACCCTGGCTAAGGCTTTGCCCCAGGAGGCTGGGCTCTCTTAGGGGGTCCAGGCCCTGCACCAAGGCCACCAAGGCTCCTGTTCACCCTCTGTCCCCTCCCCTGGCTCTAAAGTGGTCAGGGCCGGACATGGGCACCATCCAGGCTCCAAAGGCCCGAACTTGGGGCCTTTTCACAGGAACCCAGAGACCTCGACACCTTCCCGGGGCACAGGTCCTGACTTCCAGAACCTCATGCTGCACCTGTGGACAGGTCCCCCCGTGACACTGGGGGACCATCCTCTGGGGTGTGCTCCCACCTACCTTTCCGCAGCTACGACAGTGGTGCTTTCGGCGGATGACGGTAAATGGAGCTTTGCAGGCGGTGCAGAAGCCACAGGCCTCGTCTGGCACCCACTCAGGTGGGTCTGTCACAATGAGAACCGGGGACACATCAGCAGTGGCAGAGCCAGGTGGGCCAGGGGCAGGGTCAGAGGCCTGGCGGGTGCAGGCACCACTGGTCCCTCTCCTCCTCTCTGTCTTCCCCTAGACCTCAGGTACTGGCTATGATTTCAGGAAACTGATGGCATCACATGCACCCATCACTCGTCACAGCTATTGGCAGTGCCAGGCCACCAAACCCCAGGCCGCGACACCTGCATTCGGGAAGTGCTGCAGGGAGCCTCCACCTGGGTGACCACACCCTGGCTGTGACCCTCACTCTCCCGAGCTCTCCCTGACAGCTCTGGCTGCCCTTCGGCACCTCTCCCAAACCTCCAGGGACCCAGGGGCCTGTTTTCACATTCTGCCACCAGCCCCTTCCAAAGGCCATGGGCAGCCCCATCCCCACCAATGTGCTTCAGTGCCCCCCATTTGCTCTGTACCCTCCTTCCTGACTGCCCAGCCACCTGGCCTCCAGCTGGCCCACAGGGGAACAGAGAGTTGTCTCTGGCTGCACCTGCTCACATCCGGTGGCCTGAGGCCCTGCCCTCATGAAGAAGGCCCCCCTAACTCCCATGGCCCCCCCACAAGGAGGCCCTCCTGACTCCTGCAACCCCTCAGTAAGGAGGCCCCCCCCGACTCCCTCGGCCCCCCACTGGTGTCCCAGGCAGTGTCTGGGGCTGGCTGTGTGCCCACCCGGGAGGGGAGGAGCGCTGCAGCGTGGGAGGCTACCCCATGGGAAGCCACACACTGAGACAGCCTCTGGGAGGGGCTGGGGTGGGGCAGAGAGGTAGAAATGTCCAGAGCAGGCTCCTGGGTGCTCCGCCCAACATGCAGCATGCCAGCCCCTGGCCCAGAGCCTCCCACACACCTTCAAAGTCCCCATCTCGGGTCTTGGCTGCAAGTTCCGAGGATGACAGGGTCTCCTGGCACAATGCACAGTCCTCCAAGGCCGCACTCCGCAGGGTCTGGGTGACTGGCAGAAAAAGGGAGGCCATTGGGGGTGGTGGGTGAGGAGGTCGATGCATGGTCACCTGTCCCTGGTGGATATCCTGGGTGCCTCCAGCAGGGTCAGCTCCCCCAGACCCACTGACAGTCTCACAGCACACGGAGGGAGTGCCCACAGCGTGCTGATCCTGGTTGGGGCTCTTCCCTTCTGAAGTCCCTTCTGTGCACAGGGTGGTGGGCTCTGAGGCAGGTGGATGCTCCTTCCTGCACTGCACAAGTGTGGCCAGACCCCCTAGACTGCCAGTGTGAGTGCCCAGTCCAGGGCGTAGCCTGAGGGGCTCACAATCCCCCGGTTGCAGAGCCAGTCTGTGACACCGCCTCTTCCGCAGTGCGGTTTCCAGAAGGCAGCCCTGCTGAGAATCCCCTGGCAGAATGGTGTGGTGTGGACTCCAGGGGGTGAGCTCAGTGGACACAAGGCTCCTCTCCGCTGGCAAGAACGTGCCCTGCTGGGCCAGGGCTCCAGGACCAGGCAGGCTATCCTGTGTGCCCAGACCCCTGTGGTGAGGGGCAGCACCCCCAGAACAGACACCTGAGGCCAGCACAAGGGGCTGGCGAGCAGGAGTCGAACCCTTTGTCCCACTCCAGAATCTTGCAAGGGCCGTGGGTCAAGCTCCCTGTGCCTAATCAGTCCTCGCCCTGATGCCTACTCCCTCGCCAAATAACTGTTGTGTGCATGTGTGAGTGTGAGTGTATGTGCACATACGTGCAAGCCTGTGTTGCATGCATGTGTGGTACACTTATGTGCATGTATATGTGTATGTGTATGTGAGTGTGCGCTTGTGTGCATGCATGTGTGTGTGCTTTGTGGGCATGTGTGCATGCACGTGTGTACACATGCCTATGTATGACTGGGTCTGAGAGTGGACTCTTTTCCACTACCCCACAGAGCAGTGTGGCCCACATCCCCCATGACTCTGGGCTGGCCTCTGCTGTGACAGATGGAATTCAGTGGAAGTGACACTGTGCCAGCCTCGTCGGCAATAAGAGTCGGGTTACCTTGCTGCAGTGTGTGCAGGGGGCCAGGAGCCACGTGTTGCTCACACAAGAACAGTGGGGCTGACCTATCTGCAAACTCACAGGGGTGGAGCCATTTCTCCAGGCAGGTGGCCTTGCTCGGTGCTTCCCAGGCCCCACGGCTATGCACCCTTTGGTTGCACATTTGGACTGTGGCAGGTCAGCCGATCCTGGGTACAAGCTTGCCTCGTGGCCATGCTTGCCCAGGGCTAGGAGGTGCGGTTTTCTCAGCATCCCCTCCCTGGGGGCAATGGACACAGGTGGCTGGTGCAGGTTCAGAGCCCATCTTGAGTGGGCACTCACCCTTCCTTAACTTTTCCTTGTCATCCGTTTCTGGCTTGGTGGCCATGACCTCAAACAGCGTCTTGAGAATACTTCTCAGGTCACTAGCATAGTTCGTCTGCAGCTGGTCAGCCACGCCTGGGGGAAGAGGACCGTGGTAAGAGTGACAGAGGGCGGATGCAAGGAACTTCAGAGGCTGGCACTGCGTGCCGGGTCAGCCGAGACCAGCATGTCCTCCACTCCATCAGGGAAAGAGGAGGCAGCCCAGCCCCGTGGGAGACAGCTCCTTTGACAGGAGTGAAAATGCAGGAGTCAGGAGAAGCCAGGGGCAGGGCGGAGGGCCGCCATGGCAGCCGCCGCACAAGGTCTACTATTTACATTTGTTCATTTTATCAACAGATCACAGCTGTCACCACTAGGTGGTTCTGGCTAAGGGACACTCATAGAGCCCTGCACTGTGCCCACCCCTGGGCAGCTCCCCCACCCCCACCTGCAGAGGTCCCTTTCCTCCACCTTCCTGCATTAGGTAGATCTAGCCCTTCTCCAGGAAAAGGAGCAGACCAGGTGCCATTTATAGCAACCTGAGGGAGAGGCTGTGCGCACCCTGCCAGAGCGCCTGTGAAGCATGCCCCATCTCCCACCCCGGTGTCCTCAGTTGTTCAGGCCCAGACCTCGCACCTGAAATGCAGACAAACAGGCGGTGGATCAGGTCGTGGCTGCCGTGGAACCTGGACCGGATCTTCTCTCTTGTGGTCACGGGGGTGACAGGTGTGGCTGCCAGGGCTGCCTCTGGGCTGGTCTTGTCTGAGGAGCAGGAGCCAGTCGTGGGGTTGCTGCACAGAGAAGGAGATACGGTGTATGGGGCGAGGGCACAGCGAGGGGCTCCTGGAGCCTAAAGGTCAGCGGGTTCAGAGAAAAATCTGTGTCCTCGCAGGCCCCCATTCCATGGGGGTTGCATTGCCCAGACATACAACGTTCCGATAACTTAACTTTCAAATGCCATCAATGTAACACACGTGCATCCTTGAGCCAGGTGGTACAGCAGGGCTCTGACCCAGCCCCTGCCCTGCCTTGGGCTGCACTAAGGCAACCACGTCCACGTCCTTCTGCTGGGTCTCCTGGTGGTGACACTGGTGTTGAATCACAAGTCCCAGTTTAATATTTTCTACTGACTTCCTCCTACAGGAGATTCACCCCTTCATGCCATGGCTAGCGGAGTGAAAGCCCTCCAAGAAGATGTATCCACCCCCTGACCCCTGTAACCTCTGACCACGACCTTACTCGGAAAGAGGGTCTTTTCAGATGTAATTAAGTGAAGGATTGTGAAATGAGATCATCTTGGATTACCCTGATCGGCCCTAAATCCAGTGACAAATGTCCTTATAAGAGACACAAGAGGAGACACAGAGACAGGGGAGAGAAGGCCATGTGACCACAGAGACAGAGAGTAGAGTGATGCGGCCACAAGCCAAGGGATACCCTGGAGCACCGGAAGCTGGAAGAGGCAGGAAGGAGCCTCACCTGGAGGCTCGGAGGGAGCAGGGCCACATTCAGACTTCTGGCCTCCAGACTGCGAGACAGTCAATTCCTTTTGACTTAAGCCACCCAGTTTGTGGCACTTCCTTACGGCAGCCACAGGAAGCTAACACATGGCCCTCCCCATAGCTTCCCTCTCCATCTCCCAACAGTTGTATCCTCAGTTTTTATTATACTACATTAGCTATTCAGGGGTTATATTGTGACTATGTAAATACCATTCACAGTCGAGCCTGTACCACCTCAAGGTGTCTACCTCGCCCAACTCCAGGCGGTGCGTTCACTGGCCCTCCAATTTTAAAATAATTTATCTTCTATATTCTCTTTGTCTTTTTGTCCCATGTTCTGGGAAATTTCCTCAACTTTTTCTTCCAATTTTACTCTGGACATTTTAATTTCCTGTTCTTACTGTTGTTTCATGGATGCAAAATCTTTTATTTATCTATAAATATTCGTTACAGTTTTTTAAAAGTTGCCATCGGCAGCCTGCGCTGTCTCTGTTTTCCCTTTTTGTGGGGAGTTGGCTGTTTGGTCTGCTGCTCATGCCAAAGGCTTGCCTCATGTTCAGGGCTCCTCGGCTACGTCCATATTTAAGAGGAGCGCGAGTGGAACAACAGGAACCTTCGCCTTGCTGGTGGGAGTGTATATCGGTGCAACCACTTTGGAAAAATAATTTGGCACCATCTGAGTAAAACTGAGCTGCCCACACTCTGCAACCCAGCGGCCGGTTGCAGCATGCACCCAAAACTCTCATCTTTGTACGTGGGCAGACACCACAGGATCTTCCAGGCAGCACTGGGTGTCCATGACAATGGCACAGAAAGCTGGCTGGGTTCTAATCACGCCCCGGCAGATGGTGCCACGGAGAAGGTGGCCGTGGCCCCTTGCTGACGTGAGCGGACCTCACATGCTGGGGGAAATGCACAGAACTGCCTAGCAGCTTATTTAGGGATACAGCCTCATCATGTAGGACTGTTTGGAAGCACAGCGTCCTGCTCCAGTGGGGTGGGGGAGGACTGGAGAGGCTGGAACCTCACCTCACTTCAGCAGAGTGGGGTGCATGAGGGTGTGTGTCACTGATCTGCTCTAACGGATGAATATGCATCTGCGCGGAGCAAAGCGATGGGAGGCTGGGGTGGCTGAGCCCGAGGGACTGGACCCTCTGCTGGGCCCTGATGGTGATCTGCAGCTCTTTCCTCCCAAGGGACTCAAAAAAGCTTCTCACAGCGGGGGATGGGCCTAGCTTCCCTCTGTCCTGGGAATTGGGTAAAGTGTGGGAGTGGGGCCTTCACCATCCAGAGTATCACCTTCCACTGGATACCGCCATCCTCAGCTGACAGCCTCACCAAAGGAACTGAAAGCAGGGCTGGGACAGATGCTGGCACACCCATGTTCACAGCAGCATGATTTATGACAGCCAAAAGATGGAAGCAGCACACGTGTCCATCGGCAGAGTGGTAGATAAACAAATTGTGGTGTGTACAAACAGTGGAATGTTACTCAGCCTTAAAATGGAAGGAAGTTCTGACACCTGCTACAACACAAACGAACCTTGCAGACGTGATGCTCAGTGAAATAGACACTAAAGGACAAATCCTGCATGATTCCACCTTTGTGAGTGCCCTAGAGTAGTCAGGTTAGAGACAGAAAGAATAGAGGGTGCCAGGGCGAGGGGATGGGAGTTGGTGTTTAGTGGGGACAGAGCTTCCATTTGGGAAGATGCAAATTCTAGAGACAGATGGCGAGGGCTGCACACACCACGACTGCGCTTAATGCTGTGGAACTATATGCTCGACAGCGGTTAAATAGTCAATTTTGTCATGAATTTAACCAAAATTTTTAAAATGGGAAGAAAGAGAATTGAGACAGGGAAAGAACAGAGGAAAAGGAACTGAGGTGGCAAAAATGTAGCAAAGAGGGTGAGATTGGCATGGCATTCAATACGAAAGGTTCAGAGTGTCCACTATTTTTTTTTTTTTGAGATAGAGCCTCACTCTGTCGCCCTGGCCAGAGTGCAGTGGTGTCATCATAGCTCACTGCAATCTCCAACTCCTGGGCTCAAGCGATCCTCCCACCTCAGGTTCCTGAGTAGCTGGGACTAAGACACATGCCACCACATCTGGCCAAGAGTGTCCATTGCTAAAAACCATTGAACTGTATGCTTTAAAAGGGTGAACTTTTAGTATGTATATTGCATATCAATAGAGACTTATTTTATAAATCATTTGTATTTAGATATGGTAGCAATAAAATCAAAATGAAATTGATAAAACGATCCCATTGATCATAGCATCAAAAAGGGATTAAAATACAAAAGAAGGTCTGCCAAGGTGGCTCACGCTTATAATCCTAGCACTCTGGGAGGCCCAAGCGGGAGGATCGCTTGAGGCCAGGAGTTCAAGACCAGCCTGAGCAAGAGTGAGACCCTGTCTCTGCTCAAAATCGAATGAAATTAGCCAGGTGTGGTGGTGCACACCTGTAGTCCCAGCTACTCGGGAGCTGAGGCAGGAGGATCGCTTGAGCCCAGGAGTTTGAGGTTACTGTGAGCTGTGACGGGGTCACTGCACTCTAGCCCCGGCAACAGAGTAAGACCCTATTTCAAAGAAAAAGAAAACAAATACAAAAGAAGTGTAAGATTTATATACTAAAAACTATAAAACCTTGCTGGAAGAAATTAAAGAGGACCTCAATAAATGGGAAGACAGACAATATTCATGGATCGGAAGACTTAATATTGTTAAGATGGCAATCATCCCCAAATTAATCTACAGATTCAATGCAATCCATATGAAAATGTCAGCTGCCTTTTTTTTTCTTGCAGAAATTGACAAGCTGGTCCAAAAATCCATATGAAAATAAAAGCGCCCCCAAATAGCCACAACAACCTTGAAAAAGAAAAAAAAGTTGGAGGACTCATGCTCAAACTCAACTCAAATTCGTTATGAAGCAACAGTAATCAAGAATGTGTGGCCTGGCATAGGATAGACACAGATCAATGACACTAAGGATCCAGAAATATACCCACACGTTTATGTGCAAATGATTTTCAGTCAGGCCAAGACCATTCAACCAAGAATGAATAGTCTGTTCAATAAATGCTCCTGGAAAGACTTGATATCCACATGCAAAAGAATGAAGGTGGACTCTTACCTTATACCATATACAAAATTAACTCAAAATGAATCAAATACCTAAATGTAAGAGCAAAATTCTAAAATCCTTAAAAGAAAACATAGGAGTAAATCTTTGTGGTCTTGGACCAGGCAACAGTTTCTTAGACATGATACACAAAGTACAAGCAACAAAATAAAAAATAGATAGATTGGACAACATCAAAATTAAAAACTTTGTGCTTCATAGGATGCCATCAAGAAAGTGAAAAGACAACCTACAGAATAACTTTTGCAAATCACGGGTCTGGTAGGGGTATAGTACCTGGAGGCTAGAAAGAACTCTTACAACTAACTCAATAATAAAAAGACAAAAAACCAAACTAAAAAATGTGAAATGGATTTGAATAGACATTTTTCCAAAGAAGATATACAAATGGCCAGTAAACACATGAAAAGATGCTCAACGTCGTTGTCAAGTGGGAGATGCAAATCTAAATGACAATAAAATATCATTTTATTTATTAGGATGACTGGAATAATTTTTCCACAAAAACCAGAAAATAACAAGTATTGGTGAGGATGGTGAGAACGTGGAGAACCCTCATACATTCCTTGTGGAATGTAAAATGGTGCAGCCCCTTTGGAAAACAGTTGAATGGGTAAACAAAATGCGGCATATCCGTACAATGGAATACATTTTCAGCCATAGAAACGAGTGAAGTACTAATACACGCTGCGATGGGGAAGAATCTTGAAAACATTAGGCTAAGTGAAAGAAGTCAGTCACAAAAGGTCACATACTGTATGAATCAATTCATATGGAACATCTAGAGTAGGCAAATCCATAGACACAGAAAGTAGATTAGTGGTTGCGGCTGAAGGGAGGGGCACGGGGTTTCTTTATGGGGCGATGAAAATGTTTTGGAATTAGTGATGATGGTTGTACAACCTTGTGAATATAGCAAAAACCACTGAATTGTACACTTAACAATACAGCTGGGTGAAGTGGCTCATTTTGTAATCCTAGCACTCTGGGAGGCCGAGGTGGGAGGATGGCTTGAGCTCAGGAGTTTGAGGTTGCTGTGAGCTACAATGACACCACTGCACTCTACCCAGGGCAACACAGTGAGACTGTGTCTCAAAAACAAACAAACAAACAAACAAAAAACAATAGAAGAGTATGT